TGGTAGTTTTATATTATTTTAAGTTTATATTGTCAATTCTTGAAGTTATTAACCATGGCAATTACTTTCAACTTATGGGAGTATATTTTTGTGTGGTTTTCAAAATATTTTAACTCACTAACCATTTTGTCTCCATTAATTTTTCTTGTATTAAATAGCCTACTTTTACAATACAGAATCATATATCATATTTGTCTAATATAATGTTATTGACCATGACATTATCTTATAATTATTGAATATAATCAAATATTTGAGTTTCAATCCATTAACCCTTTTGTCTCCATTAATTCAATCTTTTTAAAGGAACATCTATTTATATACCTACATATATAGCATATTTCTAAAAATGTTGATAATGGATCTACCTGTACTGCAGATGTCAAAAGCTTAATGAATTTTATTTTAAATTAAGTTGAAATCATGACTTGAAATAGTAATGTAATATTCAACTAATTATTTTATGATAATTCAACTTTTTATAAAAGAAATCACCAATTCATACCCGTGCATTGCACGGGCACTATACTAGTTTTATTCCATTGTAACATTGCTTTGCACGCTATTAACCAATGATATGATGCTCCCATGATAGGATCACTTTGGATTGGTTGACTCCATTATTTATATTTTTGAAATAATTGCGGGTCATCATAAAATTCAATTACATAATTGGAGTTGGTTAAAAGAAAATTACATAATTGTATGGATGAAAAATACAAGTCACACTAATTGTATGGATGATTATGCAACTTGCAGGGGGAAAAAATAAATAAGGAAAAAAAATCAAAGTCAGCAAAGATCGAATTGCCAATTCTCTAAGGGAAAAAAATACCTATAGATTCCACGTAAAAAATAAATATAAATATATTTCTCAAATTTTATTTAATATTAATAGGTTTTAATGAATTCAATATTTATAAATTTAACTCATGAATGACGCAATTCAAATTGTAAATACACACATTTGACTTGTAAATATTTTTAGAGTTGAAACCTATCTATATTAAATAAAATTCTGAAAACTATTTATATTTAATTTCTTACTTTGGACTAGAAGTAATTTCTATTATTCAAACATAAAGCCATTGCCAATGGACGACTAACAGTAATAAAAATGCATAAAATGTTAATGCCTTCAGAGTAAACCTTTGAGAGTTGGAAAAATATAACTTCTGTTTGCCACCGACAGAGGAGTTGAAAATACAAGGAAGAGTATTATAATGCCACTTACTCCTCTCATATTATTTATAACTCACTTTCAACAACATGTTTCGCTGAAACGGCAAAAAGAACTTTAAACTAAATAAAATACTCCTCCGGTCCTTATTATAAGACCCAATTTGACTTTTTATTTGGTCCTAATTATAAGACCCCAATCCATTTTATCTCTTATATTTATGTATTTTTTTCCAAGATAATCCTTCTAATAATGATAGTTTTAGCCAATATACTTAATTAGCAAGGATATTTTAGGAATGACAACACTTATTTATTATAAATAACCAACTTAACTTACTTCCTTAATTTCCTCAAATAAGTCAATTGAGTCTTATAATTAGGACCGGAGGAGTACTTTATTTCTGCTTACTATGGGACTTCTCTTTCTTCTTTTTTTTCGCCAACTTACCATAGGACTATTATTCTAAATTACTAATACACAACGCTGACCCTTATTTCGGCATCTTCTTTCATCATATAGTATATATAGTGGCCCAGATGGGGGGGGGGGAGACTTGGATAAACAATTATTTTATGAATCCGTCCTTAATTAAAAAGAAGAAAACATGTGAGGTAACTGAAGTCATTTTTTAATGCCTCACGTTATGTACATTTTTTAACTCAAGTCACCTTTGTTTAACTTTTTCTTGATCAATTATCATAGTAATCTAACTTATTAAAAGTAAATTATCATGATGCAAACACACACGTATTGAAAAGTCAAATTTGGAAGGTGCAGTGTTTTGTCATGTTTCTCTAATTGTGTTTTATAAGTCACGCTTGACTAATTACCTTTGTAAAGTTGCTTCCGTTCGGTTTCTTCATTTCAGGTGCCACAATTAATTATCATGTTAATTTCAATGCTGTGAGATTTACTCACGTTATTAAATATTTAGTATGAATGTGTTATTTTTCCCTTCATTTATTATGATATAAATTGTTATTTTCTTAAAAATTGTGTATACAAAACAGGAATAAAATTAGAAGTAGCTTATAAATAAATTCATAAATAAAAGTGTATATTAATATGACAATGAGGGGCTAGAATTAAATTAAGAGGCATAGTATATTGCATATTTCCTCATTATATAATACTACTTTCGGTTATAAATATGCGATCTAGCTTGTAGCGCAGATTATAGTACAAATTAAATTTTTTATTTACCACCGAAGCAGTAATTCATAACCCTATTCCCTTCTTTTATCATGGTGGCGGCAATGGACCATGTCATGGTGGTGACAAATTACAATACAAACTAAATCTTATATTTTAGGACTTATGAAAGCCAAGTCAATTTATGATTGAGTCATGAATTTTACAAAAACTATTGAAGTCTTTTTTTTTTTTTTGTTATATGTCTCACCCCATGAATACGTTGTTTTTATGAATTATTAATTTTTTTTGAAGGCATGTTTTTTTTTAGATTTGTTTTTTTTGGCAAAAAAGTTTTTTCTGGTAATTTGAAGTCAATTTGGTTGAGTCATTATTTATATCTTTGAAATAATTGCAAGTCATCAAAATTCAATTACATAGTTGGAGAAAGATGCTTTCCTGTGTCGCCGATGAAGTCACATCCATATAGTTTTGTTCCTTTCTCACATCATATTATATTCTTGAGATGCGATTATTCAAACTCCGTTAGTTCATTGATCGCGCAATACAGCAGGCCATAAGAAAAGGCAGAGTTAAATAATTGAAGGGTCGAAACTAGCAAATAAATAATCTAACCTTTTATTGAGCCAAACATACCCTTAGTCTAGCAATTCGTTTACTTAAACTCTACAGCCACACCTCACAAATTGAAGACCGCATATGGTGCCCAGCAATATTTTAAAAGGCAGACCGAATGTTAAATCAGAGAGAGAATCTAAGTCAATCTGACAACATCACAACATATGTCCCAATAAAATAAAATAATTGGAAGAAGTAGCACATTAACAAGTCAACACTCAACAATCAATCTCACACCATGTGACTCAGAAACATAATTAAAAATATTTAATAATTGATGCTTAAAAACCTTTACTTCTTTACATATTTCTCTCTTTCTTTATTCTGTCGACTACTCAACCTTGCTTCTTCTTCTTCTTCACCCGAGCATTTGTCTGTTTCTCTTTGCAGCAAAAATGGTGTTCAGAGATATGAATCCTGAGTTTTCTACAATGTTTTTTTCTTTTTGCGGTTTTTTCATCATTTATTGCAAAACTTCATATCATTTCAGTAAGTATTTTAAATATGCATATTTCATCCCCAGTTTTTTCTTCTCTTAGATGTGTCTTGATCTTTCTTCTCTTTCTCTTTTGCTGAAATTTGACCCGTCCGGCTATTGAAAACCCGCTCCGGTTGGCAGGTTAACTGCGAGTACCGGCTCAAAAGTCTGTTTTAAAATGGTCCAAAATGGCTTAATGCACGGAACGGTTAAACCCACTAAAACCCAAGAATATGTTTTGAAAGAAGGGAAGGGAAGGAAATAGAAAAATCCCGACTGCAAGCACTTCTGGTTTTGGAGAAGGGAATTGACGAATTAATTAACATACACATCTGGATATTATCAAACGCATGTAGATGTCAAACAAAAACTCTATTTTTAGAGATTTAACAATAATAAAAGAAGCAGAGCCCAAGATCAATTAGAGCCCTTATATTCGTATAGCAGAAGCGAGAAACTTCTTACACGCCGGAAGATTGATGAACAAAGGGAGATTAAAAAGAAATAAAACTACTACGTACTACCTCCGATCCTTAATATAAGACCTCGTTTGATTTTTATTTTGGTTCTAATTATAAGACCCTAATATACTTTGTATATCATATTTGTGCTTTTTTTTCTTTCCAAAGTAGTCCTTCTAATAATGGTAGTTCTAACCAATACACTTGATTAGCAAGGAGATTTTAGGAAAGACAACACCTATTTATTACAAATAACTAACTTAACTTGTTTTCTTAATCTCTTCAAATTAGTCAACTAGCTCTTATAATTAGGATTAGAAGTAGTACAACATTATTATTGAGACACTTCGATAACCTACTATCTCTAATTTTTAATATAAAACTGAGCTGATTAATTTAAGGAGGTTAAGAAAGTTAAACAAATAACTTTAAAGTATTATATTTATCATTTTTCTTTAAACTAATTTATCCGACATATAAAATGATATATAATTTAATCATATATATAAGTATTATAGAGAGATCATGTATCATACTACCTGTGGTCCTTAATATAAAATCGAGTTAATTAATTTGAATAGATTAAAAAAAATTAATTAAATTAGTTATTTATAATAAATAAGCGTTATTTTTCTTAAAATACCTTTACTAATTATGTGTATTAGCTAGAGCTGGCTTTTGACGAAACTTTTAACATGTATAACTACTACAAAGATTATCTTGAAAAAAATAAGTACATATAAAAAACAAAGTGGATTATAGTCTTATATTTAGAATCTAATTGAATGTCAAATTAACTCTTATATTAAAAACCGGAAGTAGGATACAACAAGTTAACAATTTTTGAGCTTCCTTAATTTCTTCAAATAAGTTAGATGGATATTAGAGGTAGTAAAACTTAAAGATTATCTATACCATGAACTTGCAAAAGACTCCAGATCCAAATCACAATTACAAATATCTAATATCCATGTAACATATTTTATAGTGATGATTTATATATTTTCTCATTGTGTGATCTATGTGGTTCTCAATTGATTCCAAACAGTGCAAGGATGAACGTAAGTAGCGAAAGAATAGGATAAAAAGAGAGCCCTCTTATTCATACAGCAGGAGCGAGAAACTTCTTACACAGCAGTAGCTAGATTGCACAAAAGGAAATTAAAGAGAATTAGCAGTACAAGAGCAAACACAGGAAGGAGCAAATGAAGTTTGATAAGTTGGCGGAGAGATCATCGCCTAAAACTTGCGAGTTGCAAACGCTGGCAGCAAACTAATTAGAGTCTGGATCTGGAGACTATTTTCTCAAACGATTTTTGGCTGTTAGAGAGTAGTTGCTCCCCACGGAACAACGCCTTTGCTGCGGCCAAAGCCTGTTCCATGGCGCTCTTGGTCTCATGACATGAGGGTCTCTTAAGCTTCAAAAGATACGCTGCAACAACCATCTCAATCCCCACGCTCGCTGTCGGCTCCTTAATACTGCACAGAACTTTCAGGTCGTTCACTATAGTTCTTTCTTCAACGTCTTTCCAATTGAAGTTCAGTAAGCAAATATCACAGGAAAAGGAAACGGTTAATTATATTGATGCTTAATATGATATATAAATTGCACAATTTAGAAGATGACGACGACTGCGAACTCGAAACTCACCATGTGGGTAAGGTAATCTTCCTACTACTGCACTTTGAGCCTCCGATCTGCCTTTAACGGTTAATGAAGGTGGTGAATATTTGGGCGACGGTTTTCCCACAGCGTTGCTTATATCTTGAAGCACACCCTGCTGAAAAATGTCACCTCCGTTTCCTCTGTTCTCTGCGTCATCACGTTCATGATTTCTACCTTTAGGAGAGTTCATGGTCATCTATCGCTCAACCTCAACCTTCCACCAATGGCACACCCTCTCTCAAGTGCGGCTTTTATACTCTAAATTAGTTTTTATCTCCCTCCACCGGCTCATCCCTATGAAACAAAATAAACAATCACTTTATTAATGGGTTGATTTGCCCTCGTATTCGTTAATATCATCTTTTAATTTGCTTGGGTGAATCCTTACTTCATTCAAGTCAACATCTCCACTTTATTTGTTTGGATTATGCAACTTGTAGGGGGGGAAACAAATAAGTTTAAAACAGAAAAAAAAAATTCAAAGTCAGCAAAGAATTGCTGATTTTTTTAAAAAGAAATTTGCCTACAGTAGGTTCCAAGTCTTTTTTAAAAAAAAATTAAATACAAGTAGGTGTTCCACATTTCATTTAATACTACTAGGATTATATGAATTTAATATTTATAAATTTGACTTGTAAATTGTGGGACTCAAATTGTAAATTAAATATAATACTCCTTCTGTCTTTATTATAAGAACTAATTAAAAGTTTAGTCTTGATCTTAAATACTACATCCGATCATTAATATAAGAACTACTTTGATATTCAATTTGATCATAAACATGAGATTCCAATTCATTTTACTAGGAAAAGTAGATATACTTGGAGTTTTTTTCATCACAATCATTGGAATGTGGGAAAACGCAGATGAATGATGATGTCTTGGTTTATTTTGTCTTTGTTTCCTTTTTCTTTTTTTTGCCATGATGTTTGCTTTACTTGTTGACTTAGGGGCCTGTGAATAAATTTATGTGAAGTTTATAAATCATTAAAAAAATAAAATATCATGCCGTTGTAACAATTTTTTTTAAAAGTAAAACAAAAACAAATGCAATAGTTCGGAGCAAGTGTGTGTGGTTATAAATAATGGCGATGTGAGGGTCATGAGGGCAGGAACGGCCAATTTGGCGAAGCTGAAATAAAAGTAGGTGAAGTGATATACGTTGACTTTTGAGGTGAGATGTACTACGTACGCACTGCCGTTGTATATGTTGTTCTTTCTATTTTTGTTTCACTGATATTAACTTCATAATGTTGTTTGTCAGGCCTAATGGGAGGTGAATGGATCGTTGAAATTGAAGGGGCGCTGGGATGCGTAGATCTAGATATAGTAAAGACGGGCAGTATTTGCAGGGTTCCAGACAAAATTCGAGAAGCCGAAGCCCAAGACAAAGACAAAGGCTACAGTTACAGGCCTCGGTTTGTGGCCATCGGAACCATTCACAGGGCCACCAGAAGCGACCTGCAAATCATGGAAGTGACCAAATGGCGCTACATGAAGTCGCTTCTTTCGCGTTCAAGGGCCGAGGATATACAGAAGACCCTTAAAGATTGCTGCGAGGCCATTAAAAGCATAGAGAGCATAATTCGATCGAGCTATGGGGAGAAAATAGACATGGCAGCAGAGGAGCTTGCCAGAATCATGTTACTTGATGCCTGCTATCTCTTAGAGCTTCTGCTTAGGCTCAAAGAGAATAAGACTGATCCTCCTATGGATGACAAGAAAAAGATATTGCGTCTTCTCACTGATCTCACGCTGCTCGAGAACCAAATCCCTTTCTTCCTCCTGACAATTTTGCACGAGCGACTTTTCACTACTCAGCGACAAGAACCTGTACCTTCTCCCCGAGAGCTTGCCGAGTCACTCTTTGAATGCAACCTTGCCGAAGGTGCTCATTTCCTTCATCTCATCCACTCGTGCTCCCCTGATACCTATGAAAACAAAAAGGAACGCGGGAAGCATCCGCAACAAGTGCAACTGCAGCGCTGCGCTAGAAAGCTTCAGGCTTTTGGAATCAGAATAGTCAGCAAGGCTTCCGAAACTAAGTATTCTGATGGTAATAATAATACATGCTGTTAAACTAGTAATTTAACCCTACCACTACTATTATTGTATGAGTTATCAATGAAGTAGTCACCCAATTAATTCGCAACATTGCAGGCAATAACGACACAGATATTGTGACCGCTGCACTCCGGGAATTCGTGGACGAGTTCAATTTCGAAATAACATTTAAAGGAGGAAAACTGGAAATCCCAACGCTGCATATAAAAGAAGCAACAGAAGTGAAATGGAGGAATTTGATTGCTTGGGAGCAAATCGGTTTGACTGGAATCGGCTACAAATTCACCTCCTACGCTTGCTTTTTCAAAGGTTTGGTGTGTTCTGTTCATGATCTCAAGCTGCTTAGACACAAAGGAGTCATAGAAGTGCATAACGAGGCCATCAACGACGAGGATTTGGTGAAACTGTTCCAAAGCATCACAACCGGGGCGGAACAAATGGATTCCAGATACAGGACAGTATGTGAGGGATTGAACAATGCGGAGGTGATGAATAGATGTAGTGTCATTTTCAAAATGCCGGAGCATTATTTGTGGCGTTTTCTGGAAAGGCTTCGACGCAGACTATCAACAACCTATCTTCGCGAGCTCCGACGTATCTGTAGGGAGGCTCCATGGAAGATCGTCGGAGTTTTTTCCGGTATAATTCTGCTTATTCTCACTGCTTTGCAGGTCGTTTATGCAGCACGTGGCCAGTGAGATTTAGAAAAGCATGTAGGGAATTCATTATGTTCACTTGGATCCTAGCGTTGAATAAAACCGGTGTTGCTTTTGTTTTAATTAGCCAAGTCAATGATGTAATATTTTCAAATTCACCTCTAGCACTATCTCTCCATGAGCATGGATCTGCCATTAAAAGTATTAATGTTATAAATACAAGTTTAATGGGAGAGTTCGTAAACTTATAAACTCCACTTTATTTGTAAAACTCTGCAACGTGAAACTTGTAACATCAAACCGCCTTGCTATTTCAAATGTGAATTAGTCAAAGCAAAAGTGAACCAAAATTTTGGGGGGAAGATGTTTTTGCTGATGAAATGAACTTGTCTGGACATCTCAGTGAAAGAATTTTGCCAGAAAAATGCGAGAGATATTAATTATCTCAATTGCTAATCTCAGCGCAAGGTTTTTAGGTGGATGCTTAAATTTTGCATTTAGTTTTTCCTTCAAAATAGGTGGATGCAACTGAGAAGCGATTTGACCAAACCAGTGGGGAAAGGCCATGGTAAAAATCGTCTTCTGCACTAGTGAAGAATTTTGAAATTTGTTCAGATAAATAAATACAAATCATTGTTCGCATAAGAAAAGTAAAAGGACTGGAACCATGAAGATAGAGACGCTATACTTATTCCTGGAAAATTTTTCATTGTTAGCATCATTCATTCAATCGTGATATACCTTTGTCTGCTTATTTGAAGTTAACCGTGGCCGTAATTGTGTTGTATGGATAACATCTTCTGACGTGTTATACACATTTGTCTGTTCTCTAAATTATTCTGGTTTTCATAAACCTTTCTTTTTGTAATTTTATTTTATTAAGAATATTAAAAGACATTATTTTAGACTTGAAGTTTTTTCTAATAAATTGTAATCGGGATAACCTGGAAAAAGAAAAGGAGTGAGTTAATGATTCATGAAGTAACTTAGATATGAATCTACTCTTGAACTTCCACTCCCAAGTGCTTTATCCACCAACTCCCCGAATACATTGGGTCTTATACTCTCTTTCAGATACTCAATCCCCAGTTGCCTCAACTCGATCTATCACAGGATTACAAGCTTGGGATTAATTAAGGATATATGGTGGACTTTAATTTCATAATTTTCACTCTTCAGCTGGCTGCTCACCAACAAGAACTTGCCTATCTACTTGAACTTTCCCAGCAAGTTGACCATGATGAGGTCAAACAACTTAAAACTGCTATATTATTTGACTAATCAGTGAAGTAGTCACCAAATTTGCAACACTGCAGGCAATAACAGAACAGGAATTGTGGCTTCTGCAATAAAGGAATTCCTTGACAAGTTCAAATTCAGAATAGAATTTAATGATAGGCAGCAAGAACAGGTAATTCCGACGCTGCAATTAAAAGAAGCAACAGAAGTAAAATGGAGGAATCTGATTGTATCGGAGCAAATTGGGTTGAGTGGAATCGGCTACAAATATGACCCAAAAAAAAGATAACTCTTTCTACCTTATAAATAGTACCAATGGGGTATGTTTCTATATAAATAGCCAACTGGTTATAGATCCCATGGCTGATATATAGCAGAGCCAAGATCAGCTAAATAAATAACCAGAAAATATATGACAAAGGAACCTGAAAAAGAATACATTGTGCGTGGAGCAATAAAACTGTAAAGCTGATGCAAGAAGAAATTTTACAGAGTCCGCAACTACCGAAAACAACAGCAATAATATGTTGGTAACCCTGCAAAAACAACAATAGTTTACTGTTTGAGTCGTGCTTAAGAACACTCTCCTTATCAGCTAAATAACTTTATGTGATCTGTATTTATTTTTACCAAAACACAATTGTTTGACTATTTTTATATAAATAAAATAATCGTTCTCCTGTAAGAAAAATGAAGATCGTAATTGAAAATTTGCATTCTTGCTTAAATCTTAAAATTAATTTTGTGAACTCAAACATAAGTTTTAAAAAGAATAAAGCTCTTTATAATTTTAGCAAAATCAAGAAAATCAATAATATATTTTACCTCTTAGCGCACCCAATGATAGGATCAACTTGGACTGGTTGATTCCATTAATTTTGGAAAAATTGCAAGTCATCAAAATTCAATTACATAATTGCAGAGAGATGCTTTCCTGTGTCACCTAAAATGAGTCATCACATCCACCAAGTGAGCCATACCATTTTTTTTGTTTATCATTTAAATGCGGTGTATGATGTAGAGTATTAGAATTGTACTAGTAACTATCATGTTTCAATATTGAGTGATGATACTTTATAGTTTGGTCACTTTGTGACATTATATTAAATTCCTGAGATGAGAATATTCAAACTCTGTTAGTTCATTAATGGTATAATACGGCTGGCAAAAGCAAGGCTGAGTAAGATAATGGAGGGATAGCAAAAGGATCAAATAAACAATTTAAAATGATTTCAGG